GCAGAGCCTCTGCGGGGATGCCTGTTAAGGATGAGCCTGCCACCTCGCACTGCAATGGTGCTTCTCGGAGCTGGTTTCCTGTTAGTCTCCACAGGGTCCTTGTGCCACGTTCTGTATGTGGGATTGTGTAGTGGGAGTAATGGTTGTCTGGATTTTGTGCTTCAAATATTGTACTTGTGCGGAGTGTGCTTGTGGGATCCCATACGTGTGTGTGTGTGTGTGTGTGTGTGTGTGTGTGTGTGTGTGCGCGCTGAGGGCAGATGGTGTTATGTTAATGCATAATGTTAGGGTTAATGCAAAATGTTAGGGTTAATGCAAAAGTGCGGTTGCCGGCAGGTATCCATAGTTGCTGCTGAAGCAGGCAGACAGCTGTAGCTGCTGCCGAGCAGGCCGGCATTTGTAGGCTGAGTAACTTTGTATTAAAAAAAAAAAAAAAAAAAAAAAGGAGGCAATGATGCAGCAAACTCCTCGAATGTGAACAATGTGCAGTTTAACCTGTGTGCTTCTCAAGAACTGATAACCTGGGGGAGGGGGTATATTTGTGTCCTCCCGCCTACAGGTCCATGGCGACTGCCTGCAAAGTTTGTGAAGCCTTGCCATGAGCTGGACAGACGAATGGAAAAACCTGATGCCTCAGCTACAGGAGCTGACAGCGAATGCCCCAAGCAGAATGAGATAGAGGAAGAGAAAAACGAATGACTGCAAAACATCACCTGGGGACAACTGAAAAGCAACATCCTGAATATGTGTGCTTGTAAAGTAGCTATTCTTAGAGGCTGTGATTTTGTGTATAAAACCACCTGTATTTACTAGCCAGTTGCTAATAAGAAACTATGCCTTGTATTGTATAGATTTGTCACTTGTAAAAGAGATGTTAGAGTATGGAAATTTGCAGTAGCTGCTAGAAAATGCTAAGGCAAAAGCTGGAAAGATTCTAATACAATGGTAGTGTTATAAAGCAGGTAATGGAACAAATTAAGAGGGTGGGAGAATTCCACTGGTAAGAAATTTCTTTGGCTAGTCCCTCGCTGCCATCAGCATCTTCAACATGCTGCTGCACCCTGTAATAGTTACTCTGCTAATGTAAATTTGTGTGTGCCTTGCTGTAGTAGCAACTTGTTACTGGATGAAGCAGGTGAAACGCTGCATTGACAACAAGGTGCAAGGACTGAGACTGACAAAATGCCCGCTACCACAATCAAGGGCAAGACTGGGTTGGCCTCTGTGTTTGCCACCAAGAAGAACCTTTAGCTCCGCTGTTGGCTGCAACCCTGCAGGCGTGGAGCGGTGGGGACACATGCCATGCCAGACCCTGATGTGAGGGATGGCCTCCCCTGTTGTCAGAGAGCCATACAGCAGAAAAAAGGGGCAGGCCCAGCAGCCTGTAGCTGGCATATGTTGGAGATATGATCGAGCCCAAATCCCCTGCTCAAGTAGAGTCACCCAAAACATATATAAAACAAAAAGGGGGAGATGTGGAGACAGTGATCTCACAGGAGAATGGATAATTGGTACATAAACTCTGAAAATCCTGAAAGATACAGCAAGGCCATAAGAGGCCCGAAGAAGCCTAAACAAGCAAGATAAGAAGCTGGAATTCACCAAGTTAATGAGAACTGTGGACTGTTGGCAAGATTTCGAGGTCAAGTTCCCACACCTGTGCTTAACCAATTATATGTTAGTTGCAAAGGTTCTTCAAGACATGTATCCAATCATAATATGCCAAATCACTGTAAGTGCATGTAAGAAACAGTATTTAAGGAGTTAAGGCTTTGTAATAAACAGCTTTTGTCTGATCATATTGATCTCTGAGTCCATGTAGTTTGCGGCAAGAGATTAATCCAGTTAGACCAGTCCTACAAGAGCTGACAAAATCACAGGGTAGAATAAGAACATGGGTTTTTTCCCAAAAAAATTCAGCTTCCAGTTTTGCTTTAAATGAACACTCAAAAGTTATGGATAATTGCAATAAAAGACCATCAGTCACCACCATCATCTGTTCAACTAATACTTTGAATTTTCAGTCATTATGCTAGCTAATCTAAACCTCTTGTGTAAGGCAGAACAACAAAAACATGCTTCACCTCAAAAGAGTAGTTCTTTTCTCTAGTTACAAACAGGATGGAAAATTGAACCATTTGCATTTTTGCTCAGTTGTTAGTGAATACTTGCTGACCTCTTGACTTCTAGCTTGGAAAGACAATTTTAATAATTGTAGCATGTTTTCCGGGAACAGGGTGATTGGTTTGCCTTTTCTATCGCCCCAGGAAGCATACAATCTTCATACTGTTAGTCTTGAAAACCACTCACAAAGGGACAAATTGGAGGCAGTTAGTTCCACCTTTGTCCTGACATTTTCTCTGAGTATTTTTCTGCCTAACAGCTTTCTGTTCCAAAGTAGATGTTCTCTCTTCCATCTCAGTGACCTTGTCACTTAAATTTGAAGGGTCATTTTTATTACTGTTAGATATTCTGACATTTACTGCAGTTCTTACAGTATTTTTCCCCTCCATTGCTGCCACTAATGATATTTACATTTCTGTGTCATTTATTGATGTAGTTTTTCCTTTCACTGTTAATGAATACAGCTACAACTAATTGCTATTCCCAAGCAACATAGTTTGTTTTCCAGCCCAATTTCAAACCCAACAAAAAAATATCAAAGATTATTCATATACAAGAGGAGGTGAAGGAAGGTCAGGGAGCAGGAATGGTGAGTTTCATGGCATTAGTTACCAACATAACCCTGCTCATAACACAACCTTTACAACATTTTAGCTAAGTGGGACAGACTGGCTGAAGGTTAATCAGTTCCCTTCCCCCAGAATTTAGCGGACAGGTAAAAAAAAGTAACTTTTCATTCTAATGAGGACAGAAAAGCTGTATGTCTGAATAACAGCAGATGGAAACAAGCAGTGAATTCTCACTCCAGAAAATACAAGTTGAGATGCTACAGTCGTTTCTCACTCTGTCACAGTGACAAAAGTAGAAGTTAACTTGGGCTGAAAACTAACCAGAAGGTTTTGGCTTGTAAGACTTTCAGCCAAGACAGGTGATATAGCTACCAGAGTCCAAAGTATTCCTGTTTCAGCCCCCTCAGGAGCAGGTGGGAGGCTCAGTGTGGATTTTATGGGACAAGTTTCTGAAGGACAAGTTTAAACAATGGTCAGGGGCCATTACACTTAAACAACCTCTCCTCGGAATGTGTACTTCTGCTCTCACCCTTACTTGTGCTTCAAACTAAGACAGCAGAGGCTGTTGCTTGATACACCATTTATGAAGAAAGAGTCCTGCAAGGCAAGAGGTGTGCCCATTACTGACAGGATATTCTTCATCTTGCTCTCTGCAAGGCAGCTTGGAAATCTACAACACAGAGGTGATTTGTTCATGTTGCACTGTAGGGAAGATGGATAAAACCCAGGCCTTTTCATGGCTGAAAGATGAGCTATCCAAATTTCAAGTATAAGGAAAATGAATCATGCTAATGGGAGAATTTACAGAAACCATGGCTTCATGATTTAGTTTAGAGTGCCCTTTTTTATTCTCTTAGTTCTTCTGTATGCTTTCTGGTATCACTTCTTTCTATCTCCCAGTATCTTTGCCCAAGGTGAAAACCAATGCTCCTTTGCACGGGCACATTAAATGTTAAAGCAACCTGCCTGAAAATGCTGCTGCTCATAAAGTTCCTCCCGTATTTCCAGATTCCCACGCATTTCAGATCCTTTCCTATACTAATTCAGATGGTGGGGCTTACTCAGCATTAACATCTCAATGTGTATCAAAACACAGAGACACTGAACATTACTATCACAGCTGATTTATGGCAGTCCTTAGACACCAAGGGAAAACCAGAGAGGTGCATCCCAACAGGCAAGTTCATTCTGAGGACTTTTGGGAGCAGACAACACTGGGAGAGGTTTTATCTCTAAGGCTCTCCTCCGGGATGAAATTCAGCTGCACCACGGCATCTCCTAAAGCCTTGTTCTCCGCTTGCACCTAAGTCTTCTGAGGAGAGTCTGGGGCAGGACGGCTCTCTGTCCGGAGGAGGATCGACCCCGCAAACCCCAACGCCACCAGGGCAGGGGCTTTGGGGGGGGGGGGGGGGCGGCACACGACACGACATGCAGAGGGAGCGTAGTCCCGGGCCCGGTGCCCGCGGGGAAAAGGCCCCTGCCGGGGGGTCCGCGGGGGCTTCCCAGAGCCGGTCCCCTCCGCCTGGGAAGGGAAGAAGGTGGCCGGGTGGCGGCAGCGAAGCCGTGGTGGCCATGAGGCCGGGGGAACCCCCGAGACCCCCGCTCCCAAAAGCACTATCATCCCGGGCACGTACTCACGGCTGCTGTGGGGGCTGGCCGAGGAGGAAGAGCCGGTGTCCCTTGCGGCCGCTCGCTCTCCGCCCGCTGGGTCCATCCCTTCCAATCCCCTCCCCTCCCTCCGACGCGTTTTGGGGTTCGAGCTCCCACTCCTGAGCTCCCGCGTTTCCGCTGTTACGCGTGGGAGGACGCGGCGGGGCTGCCGGCGGGGGAGCGCTCCCGCCTCAGAGGAGCGGCCGGCAGAGCAGAGTGGGGCTCAGGGCAGAGAGGGACTCAGAGCCCAGAGGGGCTCAGGGCAGAGCGGGGCTCAGGGCAGAGAGGGGCTCAGGGCAGAGCGGGGCTCAGGGCAGAGAGGGGCTCAGGGCAGAGAGGGACTCAGAGCCCAGAGGGGCTCAGGGCAGAGCGGGGCTCAGGGCAGAGCGGGGCTCAGGGCAGAGAGGGGCTCAGAGCAGAGAGGGGCTCAGAGCAGAGAGGGGCTCAGGGCAGAGCGGGGCTCAGGGCAGAGAGGGGCTCAGAGCAGAGAGGGGCTCAGAGCAGAGAGGGGCTCAGGGCAGAGCGGGGCTCAGGGCAGAGCGGGGCTCAGAGCAGAGGTGGGCACAGCGGACGGCAGCAGAACTACAAGCGACTGACCGGAGCCGGACTCTGCTCCTGCTTTTCCTCAGACCCGGCTCGCCCTCCAGCTGCAGCGGTGTCAGCCGTCGGGGCTCTCCGCGCTTCACTGCCAGAGAAACTTCAGCCACTTGCCGGGCAGTACCCATCCTCTGCCCTGAGCGGCCGCCTGGGTGAAAGGAAGTGGTCCTTTGCAAGCCATCAGAATGGCGAGGACCATGAGACCCGACAACATTAACCCCCGGACGGGGATGGTGGTGGCTCTGGTCAGCGTCTTCCTGGTGTTTGGTTTCATGTTCACCGTGTCCGGCATGAAGGGGGAGACCCTGGGGGACATCCCGCTGCTGGCCATTGGGCCAGCCATCTGCCTGCCAGGCATAGCCGCTATTGCCCTCACCAAAAAGACCGACGGCTGCACCAAATGGCCCAAGAAAAACAAGTGTTCGTGCTACAAGCAAGTCAGGGACCGGGATGTCTTGAGGCTGCTGAGAACCCCCTCAGACCTGGAGTCTGGTAGGATGAGATGCAAGAGGCTGTCGAAGAAGGCATACCAGAACAGAAGAGTGCTGCGGGGCAAGGACTCTGTGTCCGTCTGCACCACCACCACTGCCGCCATGGGAGAGTGCAGGAGCTTCAACGGAAAAGTGGAGGAGGAGATGCTGAGCTACCTGGAGACGTGTTACCCAGAGATGCCAGGGAATGTGCTAGTGAGAGATGGCACAGTGTACAGTGCCTTGGAAAAGGAGAGCTCTTCTCCCACCGGGGACAGCACTGCCTGCCCAGACATTGAAGACAACATTTTTGTTGCTCCTAAAGACAGTATCATAGTCTGCTCTTACAAGGAAAACAGCCCTTATGACCAATACTGTTGTTACATAAACCCCACTGAAGTCAACTCAGACCAAGAGACAATAGTGTGAAAGATGCATACTTTATATATATGTATGTATACAAAACCAACAACTTCAACTTCGTGATAGGGGATAATATAGCTTACAGGACTGCATGGGACAATCCTGATACTGTTACAGTTTAACGTGATATGTGACTGATACTCAAACCTTGTGTGCCTGAAATGCTCTTTCTGTAAGTAAAAAAGCATGTTTAAAGGTTAAAGAATACAATTTTTCATTTTGGAAAAAGGAAATTACATTTTAATTTTATTTTCTCCCTTCCCCTCCCTTTTGTTTTCCTTCTGCCTGTTGTACCCAAGCCCGTAGACACAATGGCATGAGGGCAGCAGTGGCCATCAGCTGAGATCAAGAGCTGTCTGGAGCTGTCTGTAGGGAACAATGTGGTGCTTTATGGCTGAATGAGTCTCAGCAATAGCGTCACTTCACTTTGTGAAGGATTGAGAGATGTCAGCATGCACTCCAACAGACTGATGTTAGGGAGTGTAGAAAGGATTTGTCTCCCTTCTTCCTAGCAAGATTTGATTTTCTTCTGCTTCAACGAATCGATGTGCTGACCCTGTGTAGGCTCTTCTGAAAGTCTCCTAGCAGCCAGATAGGCTCCAGGGAGTTTTCAAAGGCTAATCCAAATAGCATGCAAGGTACAGGTTTTAGCTTCATTCCCCACTGGTATAGAGTTCTCTGAAATGTTTCTAACACTTCTGGATTTCACAGTTGTACTTGACTAGAAGATTATGACATGATCAAGACACATTTCTTGCAGAGACAAGGAGCAGATGCCAGTGGATGCAGGTCTTAAAAATATACCTCAGTACCTCTAAAGTCATTTAGAGGATAGACTTCTGTGGGTTGTGTTCAGAGCTGAGTCTGATTCCTGAAAAAATGTCGCTTTTATATGCTTTTTTAAAAATGCCAGATCTTTCTCTGTGGGTGATGAATGGTTACAGTCCACTCAGGGGTCTCAAAGCTGTACTTTTGCTTTTGGGAGGCAACAGAGGACGTGGGTGACAGATGTTTCTGTTCACAGTTTATGGATACGTGCAAGAGAAGTATGAAGTGAGTAGTGAGTATTAACCATTCAAAATATGAACCTGTAGCTTACATACAGAAAAAAACAAATCCTGGGTATTCTGTCCAGCAGCAAATTACATGTTTTTGTACACAATTTCTATAAAAATCTTACCTGGCCTCTACTACATAGGTAACAGAGATGTGGTAGCATACAATGTAAATGTTAAGCAGCTACACTAAAGATTAAACTCTTAGGCTAACAGTTACTAAACCATAGAGTAACGTGTTAGCATGTCGCAAAGTCCCAGTTCTTATAAGTAAACCCTCACAACTCCAGAATGTTCCTCGTGATGGGAGTAGTAATAACTGTTCTTGCTTAGCTGGCCTTTAGTCAACCTTAATTTGCATCAGACAGGTGTATTGAACTACCAGGGCAGGAAAGAAGAAAAACAGCCTCTTTTGTAGCTACCTCAGTTGTTCTGTAGAAAGTGGCATGGATTTTTCCACTAAAATGAACTATTCCAACCTGCCCATGGAATCTTTTGGAAAGTGAATGGAAACTTTATGCATTCACCAGTGTGTTTGTTTATTTGGAAACTTAAGTCAAATAATTACAAAGAATCAGCTTCCAAAGAGATTTCCAGAAAGACGACTTTTTACATAAGGTAACTTGTTTTTTTTCAGACCAAACAAGACATTAACGCTTTGGCCAGGCTTTGGTGGCAAATCAGAGTGCTGGTAGAAAAATTAGAAAAATAGTCTCTGAGTCAGGTAAGGCCTCTCAATAAGTGCCTACAGTGCTTTGGGAATAAATAAACACTACACTCTGTACAGTCCAAGTTTCATCCACTGAGCAAAGGAGTTACAGGCCCTCTCCCTGACATGTTCACTCCACTTCCCACTGCCACATAAAAGCACTCTATTATTGTCTGGCAGGTTGTCTCTTGCAGGCGTAGTCACTGCAGGACCCTATTCTGCAATGTACAGAGCAGCTTTTTGATGGCACTGGGAAGTCTTACTTCGTGACCTCTGAAGTCAACAGCTAAACTACTGCTGATGAACGTGGTGGGGATTAGGGTCTTTCATCACTTTCTTCCCAAGAGAAGCAGGTGAAGGTCTCAGCATGTGCCAAGGGGTGCTCAGCATCCCTGAAGTTCAGACACTACATGAGAAAACAGAATACCAGGTAGGTGCATTACTGCCTTTGCCAGGGTTATGAGTAATAGCTCTCCTTGCATAAGAGAGCAAAGCGTCAGCCCGCTGGGAACCTAGATTTGTACAGTTATGCAAATATATATAGGAAGAGGTCAAGTTTTTCCATTTTGTCTGGGATTAGATGTTCTCTTTCAAGAGTTATATGGGGTTTTACAAGGTAAGGCAGCAAACTCTAGTGACAAACGGAATGGTAAATATATAACCTGAGATATAGCCACTCCACAATCTGAGTCATGTGCTTCATTCCATTCCTAGTATAAAAACAAGAGCATGTTTGTGTTAAAGCAAAGTTTAATGAGAGTAAAATTTCCCACAATATAGAAAGAGATATAAAAAATATGTGCTGAAAACATGATATTTACAAGCAATGTCCTTCCTCCATTCAGTTAGCTGGGTAAGATTTCGTAACAAAATGTAAATTTAAGTGATATTTCTAGGGTAATCCATCATAATCCACTGAAGTTTTTCACTGAACATCTGTGAAGTTGAAGTTAAATATATTCACACTGCCTCTGAAATCTCTTTCTCTATTTTTCCTTTCTTTTTTTCCTAGTTATGCAGAAATTGAAATAGACCACTGGAAAAAAAAAAAAAAAATCGGACATTTAAAAGTAAAGATTTTTTTTTGTGTGTGGTTTATTTTGGAAGTAAAGTGAGCAGCAGCATCTTCAACCTTTTCAGGCAGATACCATGCCCAGGCTAGAGAATTACTGGGGCTTTATTTTCATTCAGCTCATATGGCTTCTTCTGATGGCCACTAGAACTTTTAGGACCAGTGCTGATCTTGACACATGCAGGCATAATCACATTGCTTTTCAGAGGCAGCTTCTAGTCCCGGGTTTGAATCTGGCTTTAGGATACCACAGCCTGGGGTGTGATTCCAAGCCATGACCTGGACATGAGAGCTTGTTTCTGTCCTTGGTACCTTTAAAACATCTCTGGGGCAAAACCCCACTTCTCAGTGGTATCCTCCAAACAATTAGTGCAGTTGTAGTGGAGCTGTTTGTGAGCTCATTGAAGTCAATTTCCACATGCTTCTTGGTCCTACAGTATGGGTGGCAGGGCATATGTTAGCGTTTGAAGAAAAACAATAATTTGGACATTCAGAGAAGGTTCCTAAGATACATAAAATTCATTTTTAGAGTAGCATTTCTCATAGTGTTGCACTGGAGTTTACCTTTTAAGAAAAAATGTAATACACAGATCAGCCATACACAGGGCAACTTTGTGTTGCTTTGTTTAAATTTTTGTTGTCATAAATACCATTTTTATAGTCATACATACTGATCATTGCACAGCTTTTAACAGAAAGTTAGGAGTTTTGAACAGTGTTCATTTTTTTTTTCTCCTGGAACACTAAATAATAGCCAGTCCTTTCTGCCTGGATCCAAAGGAGTGGGAGGTGAGTGGGCTCTGGGTGTGTGCCCCTTGAGACCAATATTGTATTCTTGATCTGTGTTCTGCAGAAATTGAAGTTTTTTTCACAGGCAGATATTCCCCATCCAATCCAGCCTCTCCACAGTTCTGGCTCCAGTTACTATTTATTGTGTTGTAATTAGCAGAATAACAGCCACAAAGACCCCCTCTCAGTATTTCTCCTGGTACATACCAGACTGCAGAGTGAGCTCCTGCTCTTGACCAGGGTGGTAGGATATGAAGGATATATATTATACATCCCAAGTAAGCTGTTATGTTGAGACATCCAACTAAATTGCCAGTTCTTGCAGCACAGGCATGGGATTGTGCATCTCTGTGTAATACCTTTCATGCCAAAGGTGCTACAGGGGTAGGTTAGAGAGGAGTGACTGTCAGGCCTCAAAGGCACTTCCAGCCTGATTTTCATGAACGTTTAGGGACTGATCTACTTATATGCAGAGTACAGTCTGTACTCAGAAACTTTAATCTTAACACATTGCTAGTAAAAACATATTGTTAGAGAATGGTTCTGACATGGGGGATTTTCTGAGTCTTGAAAGGTTACTGTGAAAGTTGCTAATATCAATCATATTAAAACTTGTAGAGCAGTTTCCTCATGTGTAGGCTGGAAGAGTTTTCCTGACACATTCTTAAGACACAGCATGGGGTATCAGCTGCAAAGCAGCTCATGCTGAGCCTATTTCTACTCTGCAGCAACACTGAACATGCCGTCCCTACTGGGATGACTGTCGGAAGGTTTGTTACTTCTCTGGTACTATGGGCACTTAGGAACCTAGAATTCACTTTTAATGCTCTCTGGCAAACTTTCATCAGCAAGCATTACCTTTAATTTATCAGTCCTCTCAGTGAAGGAATCCAGACCCTGTATGTCTTTACCAAGCAAGGAGATCCAGCTATTGCTGTGTTTTAAATCATGGTTCCTCTTCTGTTTAGAATAGTTGCATGGATTAGCTCTGACCATGCTATTGTGAAATGCACACAGAAGTGTTCGTGCTTAATGTTTTTACTTACAAACACTGCACCATGCATAGATGTATAAACATCACACATTTGTTTGAAAAGCAGGTCACAAAATGCACAAGCATAGAATATATTCATTTGAGATTTGTTCAGATGACCCCTCTGCCTTCCAATACCTCACTCAAATTTTCTGCCTCAAGCCTATTGTTGCAAAATTCTTCCATCCTTTAGGAGAATTTCTCTAAGAACTCCATAGTGGCTTTTTAAAGAGAGAAAATTCTTCCAAGAGGATACACAGATTTTGATGTCCCAGGACTGTGTTGTATTTTAATAGCATCATTTGTACTCATGCATGCTCATTGGAAGGTTTCAGTCACTAGGGTTCCCAACAAATTCTACAAAACCACTCCCTCAGATTTCAAACTGGTTGGTTTACATCTCAACATGAGAAAGTGCATTTTAGCAAATTTTAAATTGGGAGGAGAAAGAATTTTCCCCTATTTTCTTTGGCAAGAACATTGGATTGCATAT